GGACACGCGTGCAGGATGGCATCCTGGTGGTGCGGTGGCTGCCGGCGCAGGTCACCCCCTCTCCCCATTCTCGAGGCCAACTGCACGCCCATCCTCTGAGCGCACTTGCTGCGTGCCAGGCACGAAGGGCTTCCCCCGGGTTAGCTCACGCATCCTGCCGATTCTTCCCCACAAACATCCCCACCGCAGAGGCAAGAGGACCGAAGCACAGAGAGAGCGAGTGACTTGCTCAAAGTCACACAGCCAGTGCGGGCAGGGGCAGGGCTCACGGTCCCGCTACACACCTGTGCTTTAACCTACACCATGCTCCTTCGAGTCAACTGTGCCTCTTTCAAATATGAACCACTGAATTTTCCTCTGTAACTTGATTCGGAACATTTCTCCCAGGTCTTTGCTAAACAATGGCAATTTCTTTAAAACGGCTTGCCAGTGTGTCATTGACGTGCGATAAACTGCACGCTCACAGTACAGTTTAACGTGTTTCGGCATAGACATACCCCTACGAAACCATCACTGCAAACAAGCCGTGAACAGATTCATCATGCAGCGTCCTCCTGCCCTCCTGAGCCCCGCCGCCCAGAGGCAACCACTGGTCTGCTTTCTGTCACTATAGGTTAGTTTGCAGTGTCTGAAATTTTATATAAATGACTGGCATCTTTTCCTCAGCATAATTAGTTTGTGTATGCAACATTTACCAAGATGGACTATATATTAAGTCTCAATAAATTTGAAAGAATTCAAATCATGCAAAGAATAGTCTCTGACCTCAAAGGAATATTAGAAATCAGTAACCAAAAAATATATGGAAAACCTCCAAATATTTGGAATCTAACACATTTGTAAATTACCCATGGGTCAAAGCAGAAATCAGAAGGGAAATTAGAAAGTTCTTTAAGAAACATATATAACAGTTACCATGTGTCAGAACCTGTCCTGGGCCATTTCCAAAACCAGGAGTATCTCATTTAAGCCTCACAACCCTTTGTGGAAGATATTTTCATGCACATTTTACAGATGCTAAAGGCAAGTAGAGGTGTAGTGACTTGCGTGGGTCACAAAGAGCAATGGCAGAGCTGGGATCTGAATCCAGGATACCTGGATCCAGAGTCTGTGCCTTGTGTCCCAGCTAAATGACACTGAAAGGTTTCCCATGGGGGAGGAAAATGATCAGCTCCCCTTACAGCAAGATCACTTTGAGACGAGTTCAACGAATCATTCAGAGCTACATCTGCCAGACTGGAAGATGTACTAGAAATTCAGAATTGAGGTGGCCGGGCAGAAAAGGAAGTGAGCCGGGGACAGAAACGCAGGGCTTGGAGGGCGGGGTGACCGGGATGAGCACGGTGGTTCGCCAGGGGAGGGGGGCCTCAGTTCTGAGAGCCTTTTTATATCAGGGATCCCCAGGCTTGGAAGGAAGGCAAGGTGGGGGTGGGGAGGGACCCAAAGGAAGAATGTGAGCCGAAGGTCCGCTTGGACTATTAGAAGGGAAAGCGAGGGAGTGGTGGTCCCGGCTAAGGAACAGCACGCGCACAGCCCCGGGGGGATGCATCACAGAGCCAGTTTAAAAAGGAGTGACAGGGTGCACCGATGGGAACTGAACACAAATGGGTAGGTACCCTGCGGGGCCTAGGGGCTGTCCTTCCCGAGTGATGCGGTGTCACTGAGGGTCTGGGGAGTGTGTGGAGGAGACCGACAGGGTCAGTGAGACCTGTGTCCTCTAAGCTCCCCCACCTCTGTGGTGGACACACGTGTGCAGATGGAGGCGGGCAGGTGGCTACCGAGGTCTTCCAGGTGAGCTGAAGGTTGTGTGGACGGACAGCGGTGAGAGTCGGGAGGCAAGAATGGAGAGCAGTAGATGGAGTCGAGGTATCTGGGAGGCAGAAACGGCCGGGCTAACGCCGGAACCCCTGTAGCGACGCTTGGGGTTCTTCTGGAAGGCGGTGGCACCTGGAAGGCAGCCGGCCAGGCAGGTGGGGCGTCCAGGCCTGGAGGTGTCCTGGCCCCAGCTTCTCAGTGAGTCGCCTGCACACAGTACTGCTCCAGGAGCTCCCGCCACAGGCCAGGCAGAGGGGGACGAGTCCGCAGAGGAGACAGGGCGCTGCAGCAGGCGGAGGGGAAGCCACAGCACGCTGTGGCGGAACGGAGGCGGCTTTCAAGGGTGGTGGGCAGCGCGGAATGTTCCCCGCAGGTCGGAAAGGACAGGAAACGTCGTTGGGTTTGCTAACGGAAGCAGGCAGGGGAGAGCTGGAGGTCAGGAGGACCAGGGAGGAGGGCGGACAATAAAGTTAGGACTTGCTGGGAAACAGTGGTTCCTGGGCGGCCTTGGGGCAAGTTCTCCGGAGGGGAGGGGCGGGGGAGTCGCCAGGAACCAAGAATGTCACTAAGGTTGCGAACGGGCCACTGCATTAGCGGGGCAAAGGAGTGGGCCAGGCCTCCAGTCAGGGGGGCATAGGCAGCTGGTGGGCTACAGGTGGAGGGGGGGCGCCCGCCGCCAGCGCCTGAACGGAGACCTTGCACTGCAGGCAGTGGCGACGGGGAACTGGCCACAAGAACTGCCTTCCCTTCCTCCCCCTCCGCCGGCCCCAACCCAGGCCGCAGGGGAAACCCGGCTGCGAACATCCGGACACGGCCGGGGTCAGACAAAGATCTGCAATGTGCCCCGCGAATGCCTAACCGCCCCCACCACTCTTACCACGTGGGCGCCAGTTACTATCTTATTTTTCCCGTTTTAACGCGACTCAGGACACCCCGCGCGGATTTCACACCCTAATGAGTCTCAAGCCCGAGCTTGAAAACCGTTTCTGAAAAAGCTGGGTTTCCCTGGAGATAAAGCGGGGCGAAGAGGGGGGCGGGGAGGGAGGATTGTCAGGTTTGTTTACATCGCAGAGCTTCCAGATTGTTCCCGAAGGCCCAAGGCGTGGGGGGGGTGGGAACAGCAGTGGGCGGAGCTAGAGACAAAGGAGCCGGGAGTGGGGGCGGGTGACAGTAGAGTCATGGGTGAGGCAGGGGCCCCCACCTGTGAGATGCCCCCGTTTCTGAGTTGGCCAGGCCTAAGGCTCCCTCCTCCTCCAGGCGTCTTAAACCTCACCTGGCACTTTGGAAAGACTGGAAATTCCAACTTAGAAAGTGGCTTTTGGCACAAGTTAACCACATCGGCCGTGAATTAAATACTTTATATGGATACCTGAAATTATGTGAAATAAGTAAAAAAAGAAGAGCTATACGAAATCATACCGGGGGCAGCTGGGTGAAGACGCATTTGTTCACCCAACGCCGGAATTTTGGAATAAGGGGCCCTCAGAGTGTGAAGGTTGGGGGTCTTAGGGAACCCAAAGGAAGGTAGGCCTCCCCAAGGGGGTGCGCATGGGTTTGGAGAATTCGGGCCCCTGTGCACTGAGGGGAGTTGGGCCAGGACCAGCCCCGAAGTCCGGGCAGTGGCCTGCGTTTGGGGATCGCCTGCGAGTGCTCCTGCTCCCTGTCCCACCTGTGGCTGCCCGAAGCCCCATGAGGCCGGAGGTGGAAGGCTCCCTTTGTCCAAATATGACCCCCACCACTGGCCAGGGGAGTTCTTTCTCTGTAAGGCAGAAACCGGGGTTCGGCTTGCCTTCCCAAGCACATGTTCTGGTTACCCCTCACATCCGTCATAGACTGGCCCCCGCATAGTGAGGTTCTAGTAGGCACCTGTTGCCCAAATCCCAGGGACCTGACCCCACAATCTGCTGCGGGGGGCGAACGGATACAGCCCAGACCCCAACGGTGGCCCCAAACCCTAAAGCTTCTAATCGTGGCCCGGAGCCGCTACTCTCCGTCCCTCAGCCCCGCACACGGCCTCGAGGCCTTGACCTTGCCCCGGGCCCTAGTCGCTGACACCGGCCCTTGACGTTAGGGACCCGGTTCTGAGGCCCAGGTGGCCCAGGGCGCGAGGAGCGCCAGCATGTGACTGAGGCCTGCCCTCAACTCACGCCGCGGACACACGGCGCGGGACGCGCTCCGAGCTCCACGTTTACTCCCGCAGCCTTCGCAAAGCCGGGCGTGGG